GTAATATCGTATTTATCTGAATAAAGCTAAGTGCCAGAGACCTAAGTGGTCACCTTAATATTAAAAAAAAAAAAAAAGTAAATATTGAATTTTAAAAATATAGCATTACATTAATTACCTGGTCAAAATTGAAACCTGCTAATTCTTTGCACTTATTTGCAAATTTCTTGGCTCGCATTATATTACATTGCTATATTTTTTCTACATTCTATTATTTTTTTACAAAACGCATAACTTTCATTGCACTAATATTGTACAAGTCTGCTAATTCAAACAGTTTTTCACAATATATTTCTCAAAGCTCAGAAAGTAAGTAAGTATATCCTTCATTATAATGTAATACAGCCATTGCATGACATGCAGCAAATGACTGCCAATAATCAATTTTTTTGTCTGTATAAACAAGTTTTACTTTATTGAATACTTCATTTTGGGATGTTTTATTTAATGTAACAATTCTTTGGCCATGAGGTACACAGTAAATTGTTTCAAGAAGCTTCTGAAATTTATTTATTCAGATATTAAATGAATGGCAAAGTGTCAGTTCTTGCAAAATAATTTTTGGGCCATCTTTTGTCTAGCATATATCTGACCAATATCGCACATGATTTTTTGTAAGTGATAAATAAGTTCTTCTACCTGTATAATATGTGTTTCTTTCTCAGTTGGCACAAGAGGATCTTGGGCAGCTTTTCGTAATGCAGTAGAATAAATGTATCCACGAAACTAGCATATTATGTGATCTTCAAATACATAGAAATAAATATCTTTTTTGTCTAACACAAAGGTACAAAGTTATTATTTTCATTATTATTATTTTTTTTTTTTAAAAAAAAAAAAGCAAATAAAGTAGTTATATACTTCACAAGAAGTTCTTAATATTGCATATTAAATGTTTTAGGTTTGCATAAATATTAGTAACAATAGGTACATTTGCAAGAGTCCTATTTGAATTCAAATTACTATTGATATATATATCTAAGTATAAGTTAGTTTTTTCTAATAAAGAACTAATTTGTCTTAAAACCTCAATCAGAATAGCATGCTCCATATGTCTTGAGGATTTGTCAAAATTACCTTGGTGGATTGTTTGACAACCCTCTTATCATCTTTCACAAATCTGATCTTTTCAACTACATAAAATGCAATAATTAGTTTGTAAAAATAATGTAATAAAATATAATTAAAATTAACTAATTTTTGAACTGAGTAAATACTAATATGTAAACTATCTTACTAAGTAGAATTTCTTAATATATAAGCTCTTCACTAGCCTGATTTGCATTTGTATATAAGACTATAAACAATTGAAACCCACTGCTAAAGATTTTTTGCCTTGTGACAATATATGTTCAATACATTTTTGCAAAGCTTCTCTTGTACAAGAATTTGCATTGGCTATAAGGAGTGCAAAATACATTTTTTGGTACTTATGATATGTTTTATTACTTGTTTGATTTGTAATTCCTATTATGGCCAATGAACTCTGTATTGCATTGTGAGATATTCCTCCCACAAGTCCTGCAGTGGCTATGGCATTTGTTAATGAAAATTTTTTTGTTTCATTTGTATATTCAGAGATAGTGGCATATTTTATACACTTAATAGTGCTTTTAACTTTAAATCTAAATGGTATTATATTCCAAGATTTATTATAAGGCTATTATTATTGTATTTTGAACAAAGTTGTGTAAGTACTAGTGAAAGATATTGTTTTGTAGAAACTAGTATTATAAAACCAAGTTTAGCAAATTTTATTGCATTGTTGATACTTGTTTCTAGTAAGTTATTCTTATCTAGAATCATAGTTTTTTCTTTTGTTTTGTTTTCTAATTCTTCTATGTGTTTTCATAAGTTACTTATTTTTCGATTAAGAGCATAAATTTTGGTCTTACTTTTTTTATATTCTAGCATTAACATTTGAATATCTTGTGGAGATAAGGTTTTACCTTACTTTTTGAATAATAAGTCTTCTTTTATTAGAATTTTAGTTTATGCTGAAATATCATCTAGCATTGTATATGATCCTTCACTTATTCTTTTTATACTAGATCACAATCTGTTTTCTTAGTTTATTGCATCTAATATTTGTTGATTATCAGAAAAAAGATCTGAATAATGCATTTTGACAGCCGCTTGTAATGAAGTGACATTTTCAGTTTTTAAGAATCCAAGGAAGTAGGGGAATGAGTGCGAATTATTAGGATCAAGTTCTTTGATTTTTTTTTTAAAACAATGATCATCAAATCCCTATTCATCTGGCTGGCTAAAATTTGAATTAATATCATAATTATATCACTTAAATTTGAGATAATAATTTTTATTTAAAATACTAAATTACTAAATTTTTTCTGATATTTAAAAATAGACTAAATATCCAGGTAATAAAAGGATCCAATTTTTTTTACCAGTTTTGAGTTTATAATGATAATACTTGACAAATTGGCAAGTGCACTCTTTGAGAAGTAAGACTTCTTTGAGGTGACTATGCAGAACCAAAACTTCTAATTTTGAATTAATCTCTCTAACAAGCTATCCCTGTTTTGAATTTCTCTTCAGGGTTCTTTTGCCAGGCATACTACTATTGATATACATGTTATACTATTTAGACATTTTTATAGTAAAAGTTATACTTGTTTGAAATTTTAAGTATTTTTTACAAATATAATGTAAAGTTTGTATTAAAATAGAATTGGCAAGTGACAAAAAGAAAGGCAGGTCGATTATAGACAAGGGTTATACAATAGAAAATAAGTAGTAAATTTGATTTATATAAGTTGTCTTCATCTAATTATTTATTAAATATTAATTTAAATTGTATTTTATTAGATAGATCAAAGTCTGAGAAAAAACTTTATTAAGGCAAAAGTCAGGGTTTAAATATATTCAAGAATTCTTGTGGCTACAGTTTAATATAGCAAATAAATTTCCCTTTGCATAATCATTATAGAACTTTGGGCACTACAAGACATTGAAGAAATGAACCAATTTCCTTTATACACAAGTTATTGAAGAAATAAATTAATTCTCTTTACACGCAAGTTATTGAAAAAATGAGTTATTTCACTTTTCACATTTGCCCTTTAATTATATAGACACAAAAGTTCTCTATTGAGGAAATTTCTTTTTTGAATAACTTGTATACAAGTACAACAATTCTTTATATTATATCTCATAATTGGCACAAAACAAGAACTCTGATCGAAAGATATTTCTATTAATTCTACATCTGCCATTATTGAAAATTGCAGTAATTAGTTTATCGATTACTAAAGGAGAATAGCATGAATTTCGAAGATTTTCTTGACACACTTTGAATCTTGTGTAATGAAGATAGGAAGCTAATTAAATATAGAATTAAATATAAATAAAAAGATCATTGAATATAGAATAAATCAAAGTAACACTAGATCATTATTTTATACTTTTTACTAATAATTTGACTCTATAATCGATAGAGTATTTGCTATTAAAAAAGATTTGTTTTTATTAAGTCAAGCAGGTAACTATAATAGGAAGATGTAATATTAATCTTATTTTATATTTATCTTAATATGCAACCTGTATATTTCAATATCAATTGACCAATGGCTTAATTATGTTTTACTCTGCTTATTATGATTTGTTTCAATCTGCAATTCAATATTGTGAATGAAATTATCTTCTAAACCTGAAGTATATCGTCAAGAAATTTCATATTATAAACTCGAAATTGAAAATTGTCATCAGCTTAATGTAAGGTAAAGTTTGCTTTATATTCAATAAAGTGCTTGGTAAGTTCTTAAAGCAAATAACTCAAGATTATTTATTTAATGTAGCCAAGAACCTTCACTTGTAAGAAATTATTAAGAAATTGAAGGTTATAGAGTCTATATAATGTTTTAAAATTTTTATTTCTTTATATATTTGGAATACTAAATTTTATACTTGAACATTTTTAGTGAAAAATGTTGGTAATTATTTATGATGATAGTAATATACTTATGATGATTATTATTATAATCATTATCATTATTATTAATCAAGTCAAATAAATTTAAAAATTAAGTGATTATAACAAAATACAGAAATATATTTAAAGCTATTTTTATTTTAATAAACTATTTTATTTTAAGATTTTTCTCTAGAAAATCAATTAAAAAATATCTTTTTATTTCTAGATGATTCTTTAATGATTTGGTTAATATATATCTTGAGAAAATTTTAGATCTTATTTTACAAAGTGACTATGATCTTAATTAACCCTTAAAGATCGATACAGTGAAACTTTTTTAAGCATATTCTCTATAATCTACTTTCTCTAAGAAATAAATTAAATTTATAAGATATTTTTATAATATTATATATCGATAGACAACGATTAATCCAAGATAATATCTCAAATATATACACTCTCTAATGTATATACAAATTCTGGCCCAAATACATACATAACTAGAGATTGTACCAGGTAGATATTTTTATTATAGCTATAATAAATTACCTAGTAAAGATTTTTTGATGGGTATAATCACTATACATGACCTTCATAAATGCACTTTTTTTATTGTTCTTAGTACATGTCATTAAATTCTGGTTCAGGGTGTGTGCACTTAGAGAGGTTTCACTGTACTAGGCTAATTATTGATTTAGATGTTCAAATAATTATAATCACAAAATTAGAATGAATTAGTTATTTGTCAAATACCCACTGAATAAAAATCATGTGAGAAAATAAAAATATTCTCTTGAATACCTTATTAAAAGTTATGTATTTCCAAGTAATGTTCTAATTTTAAAAATTATAACTTCTAATTTTAAAAATTTTGATGCCTAAAATTTATCATTCTCTTCCATGCCAATTCTGTAATAATAATGAAGGACAGGTTAAAAATTCTATTAGTTATTTAGTTCAGTGAATTTTTGGTAATACTCAAATATTTTAAAAGGCCAAAAAAAAAATCATAATGAGGTATGCAAAAACAAAGATCTTGATGCTATCCAAAGGGTAAATAAACTTGTGCCACTTGTGCTAATCAAATATAAAGATACAATACTATAATAATGAAATTTAATTAGTATTATCAATGATAGCACATTACAATATTATTTTTATTGTTCATTCAAAACAGGAAAAATAAAAGTAATAACTATTATATCGTGAATCTTCTGCCTGATTAACTTAGATCAGGGAAAGAAAGAGCAAAGTATTTAGCAAAGCATCTTGAAAAACACCACTATAACTTCTTGAATAGTAGAAGAAAAGGCAAAAGCAATTGTAAAATATGTTTCTAATTTTTCAAGAATTGGTCTAATCAACATGGCTAAGAAGGTAAAATGGTAGAAAGAGACTTAGTAAGAATATCATACTGGCCTAATGATTCTCAATCAGACCTTTCTAAGTATATGCCCTTGTTAATAGTATGCATATGGTGAATAATAAGAAAAATGAATTTATAGAGTCAATTATATATTTGAACTGGCACTTGAGTATGTATTTAGAGAGGATGTGTACTTATAGAGGTTCACTTAGAAAAGTTTGGCGAAATGTATATATAACTTTCTCATCTGACCAATCACATTTAGTATTTTTGTAATTCTAGAAAACGGATAAAACAAATTTTTTATGTATAACCTAAGCAAATTTTGGTCAAGTATGTTTTTTTTTAAATGAAACAGAAGTTCAAAATATTATAGTTAGAATTAAAAAGGTTTAATATATCTATCCCAAAACTTTTATGAAAATTGATTATATTTTTATAAACTTTTATATATAACTTGTGTTCAATTTTTGTGTAAAATTTTTTTGGTTGATCTACTTATATAAGAAATGATCTACATTCACCCTACCCTTAAATTCATACAAAGTAACATTTAAATCTATCAAATGACAATTAAAATAAAGTTGACTAAATCACAATACCTTGTAATATAGTAGTTCAATATAGATATTTTTGGTATCATTTAAATCATCTTATTAAGAAGATTTGAATAGCACTAAAAACTTCTATATTGGACCTCTATATCATGAGATATCTTGATTAAATCAAACTTATTTTAATTATTATTTTGTATAGATTTGAATATCACTTTGTATGAATTTAAATATCATTTTGTATGAAATTGAATGTCACTTTGTACAAAATTAAATGTTATTTTGTATGAAATTAAATATTCTTTTATATGAAATTGATGTCAAAAGTAATAATGTTTTAAATAATTTTTATAATTTAAAACTCCAGTTTTATTAAGTTTAACTCTAGTGAATGTGATAGAAAAAATTTTACAAATATACTAAATATACTCAAATATTTAAGTAATTTATCATAAGAATAAATATATATATTATCTAAAGTTAAAATACTTTGTATATAGAAATATAAATTTATTTAAAATAACTATATAAACAAAATAATATATTTATTTATTTATTTTTTTACTGTTTAGATAATCTTTTTGGCTAGAAACTATTTTATTAAGTATTTGAAACTTATTACAATTATAATGAAAGTACAACTAGCTATATATACACTTTTGGTATCTAATTTAAGTAGTTCACCCAAAGGTTCTAAAATATTTGCTATACCTGCAACCTAATTATAAAGTTATTTATTTAAACTTTCTAGTTATAACCTAAAACTCTCATATCTAATCTGGATATTACTTACTATTTATATATTAATTTTGTGATATCTTTAGTTTTTAGCATCTATTTTAAAACTCCTTTTGGCTAATTTTTGAGATAGATCTGATACTACATATTATATTCCATATATAGTATATGCTCATTCAGTAATATTTATTTCAATTAGTACATATTCTCTGTTGCTATTGTGTTTGTATCCTATGCCACTTTTTAGAGTGCTGCTATAACACAATCTATATCTTAAGCACAATCTTTTTAATTAGTATTTTTATTACTTACTTCTCTTTTCTTATTTTATAACCCAAGTATTTATATTCAAACTCTATACTTTGGTCTTTAGTTTTCCAATTTAGATAGCCCAGAGAAATTGGTTTGCACAAACCCTAGTGTTCTTATCTCAGATCTGAAGATTTCTCAATTTTAATACAAGCTTTTATAATCCAAGTCTTTTTCTGTTAGAATTTTATTCTAGAATTTTCTACTAGACCCTAGTTACTAAAGTAACTAGTGAATATATATCTAGTGTGACTCTAGTAATTCCAGCAGCCTAGTTAGTAAATCTGTTTGTCCAAAGATCTTTGTTATCTAAATTCTCATTTCTGAACTGCTTCTGTAGTATTATAAAAAACTACTAATTCTAATAATATATTTATTATAATTATTATTTTTTAAACCTTTGATAGTTTTACCAAAGCTCAAATACTAATTTATTATAATAATTTCATAAAGGACAAATCTTTTTTTGAAACTGGACTATATATTTGAAATTACAAGCTTAGTATCATCTAGCTATATAATATATATCTAGCTATAATCAGTTATATCAAAATCTAAAGACTTGAAAGACTGTTAGCCTATTTTAAGTTTAAATCCTTTAATCTTTTTTCTACTAAAAGCAAAAGAAAAAAAAAATTTTGTATTAAATGTACAAAATATATATCACAAAGAAAAAGAAGTATTATAAAAGAAAAACAAAAAACAAACAAAAAGAAAGAGTGTAAATATAAAAGAAAAAAAAGGTAAATAAATAACTGTTTAAAAAAGAATATAAAGAGTTAAGCCCAAAACAGGCCAACAAAAAAAAAAGAATATCACTTTATACAAGTAGTGAGAGGCAAAAAGTAAAAAAGCCTATATACAGATTGCATTATTATAATTCATGCTGGGCTTAAAAAAAAATTATATAGCAAATACAATATTTATATATCTCTAAATGCAAATTAAAATCAAGAGTACAACTACTTTTCAACTATATGCCTGCCTTCAGTTGCTATGTAATGCTTGGTTCTTGGTAAATTACATAGAGTAGTAACATGTTTGTTTATCTAACAACATATGTGGTTGCAATCTACTGGTTCATAAATGGTAATTTTTTGATAGAGTAAGCTGTTTTGCCCACTTTTTATGAAAATTTTGTTAAAAAAGCAAGTGAGTAATTGTGAAGAGTATAGATCTAGAATTTTTCTTCAAGAAGAGTATATATTTCTTCAAAAGTAGTAGAACAAGTAGATCTAAGTGCACTGCTAATATTCTTTTCAGTAAGTGATAAACTCTAAACTTGTTAGCAAGTAGTGTATAAGAACTACTTCTAAATAACAAGTACTGTTCTTATAATGAGTGATAAGCTCTAAACTTATTAGCAGATAGTGTATAGAACAATTTCTAAATAATAAATATAAATAATAAGCACAGTTTATAGTATTTGTTAGTTTTATATCTTTCTTTTCTAACATTGTTTTACTGTTTTTGTTAAAAATTTTAGTTTTGAAAAGTTGATCTGAGAGATTATCAGGAAGAGTTGTATAATATATTTATTATTAATAATAGTAATAAAAATTATTATATATATACTTACTATTTGAAAAATAACAAGTTTTTTTAATATTTTCTTTTGTATAGCTACCTTCTATAATATTTATAGCAATAATATTATCTAATATAAGAGCTAATAAAATTGTATAATATCTACTATAAACAAATACTACTCTTTTTATAGCTTGTATATTAATATTTAAGTAATTATAACTTCAAGTAATTGTTTTTTTATCTTTAGCTAATTTATCTAAAATAATTAGCTATTTATATTAATATTGAGTAGCAATATATACCATGAAGACACTATGAAGTAATTTATTATATTTTTTAGCAATTTTAATTAACTAAATTAAAATATAATAATTAATAATATTATAAATTAATTATATAAATAAAAAAATAAAAATAA